CGAGAAGATTATTTTCATGCTCGTATAATTGGCGCCGTCTGTAGGAATACAACAGAGAACAAACCTTTTGATTTAAGTGTTCCTTCAATCAATGTCAATGGCGCATAACGAAGACTTGCCACATTCTGCTATTGATGGGCACACCCTAGAAGGAGGAGGGAGGTACGAGGGCTTGCCTTATGTTCTGCCCATGGCAGAATTGGATCCCCAGCGACGGAACCCACAGAGAGACGCGCGAGAAAGACGGGGCTCAAGTCCACGCAGCTCTCAAAGCCTTGATAAATAGAGGCAGATGATGAATCCCCAGGTTCTGGAAGATCGCATAAGGGAACAAAACGAAGTAATAAGAAGAATGACGGCTAACATGAAGACTATGAAGCGCCAAATAAAGGGCAAAGGGGTGACAGAAGAAAAAGTGGGCAAAAACAGAGCGCACTCTCGTCACTTAGAAAATTGTGACAGGCAAGTCACACTGTCTCATACGGAAAGCAGAAGCCTCAGGATAGGCGACACACGGTCAAGAACCTTTAAGACTCGTTACTCCAGGTCTGAGAGAACGAGGACTGAAAGGTCATGTACGGAGGGAAGCAGTTATCAGCCTTTGCACTCGCACCAAACGACATATAGACACACGGAGTTGCCCAGGTCGGCAGACCTGCGTACAATGCTAAAGGAAAAGGCTCGAAGGAAAGAGGACACTCAAACTCGCATCCCTTGCAGAGTCTCTACGCTATAACAATTGGCTTCTAGGACACATGGGAGTGTCAAGGGTGGAATGTCGATACCACACTTTGTCTATGAACCGACAGACAAAGTATTAGCAAGGTTACAGAGCTCGCTGTTCGTTCCGGCAATTTACCCCCAGGCTTTCACCAACCCAAATTCACTACTTATGAGGGGAAGTCAGACCCCTACATACACTTGAGCCACTTTCGCCAAGTTATGGCCGTGTATCGGCGAAACGAGACTCTAATGTGTATCTTGTTTCCTTCTAGCCTTAGTGACCTGGGTTTAACATGATTTGAAAGGTTGCCAGAAGGTAGCATAGCTTCATGGGCGCAACTAGCGGAGACATTTGTGACCAGATTCAGAACAAACACCAAGACGCCAGTGAAGATTGACCAGCTTCTCTCCATAGACATGGGCGAGAAGGAAACATTGAGGTCCTACAATAATTAGTATTGGGAGACTTTTAATTAGATTGGAGATTGCCTCACAAACCTAGTTATCGCATAGTACAAACAAGGTTTGCCGGCTGACAATAAATTAAGGGATTCAATGACAATGATGCCGCCTCTTACTATGGAAGCCCTGATGGAGAGAGTGTACCAACACATCTTGGTAGAGGAAGATGGGATGCGCACCAAGGCAGAGTCCGATACAAACAGCGATGTTGGACAAAACACCCTCGGTAAAAGTTAACACGGTCGACAAGAAGGACCAACCGCGCAAAAATCTTTGCCCAACTGAGGGCAAAGTGGGTTGGCAGGTTTGACCAATTCTTTCTAACAAATCTGAAAAATCTAGAAATCCCCTAGATGTTGATTTGTGATTATATATCAATTTTAAACAGAATATAACAATCCCAATCAAACAATCAAGACAAAGAGACACAACGATTTTACGTGGAAAAAACCACAATTGGACACCTCCAACTGTGATAAAAAAATCACGGGCAACTGCCACAAAACAATCCACTAAGAAGATTTAAAGGAATTACACAGGTATACTCTCAATTACCTAGCGAATCCACGCCTAATTGAACCAACCTCTATGTGCCTCTTCCAACCCCTCTTCACCTCGGAATTGTCTTTACGATGAGCCACCTCGGAAATCCACCAAAGCTTCAGGCTTGAATTCTTCAGAATCCACCGAAGAACAACTCTCTCTTTTGTAGAACAAACAAAACCTTTGATGTACTCTTTTTAAACCATGAGTTAAATACTCAATCAAAACATCAATGAAAAACTAAAAATATCCCCAGATATAAACTTTAAAAACCAAAAAGAAGATCTGGAGGATTTCAGGAGTAGTCTAGTTTTTAGGAGAAAATCAACTACTTATAGAAAAAACAAAAGTAATCCTAGATTTGGAAGAAAACCCAATCCTTATTGAAATCCGAAAAATTGTGTTCGCGCGGTCCGCTTGAGCGCCCAACATCCCGCTCGAGCGTCTTCAGTAAGATCTGCGCGTGATATAACAGAGGTCTGCTCGAGCGCGAAATCACACCTTCCAGTATTTTTACAGACCTGACAAACTGCTGGAACCAGGGATTCTTCGCTCGAGCGGGGTAATGTCCGCTCGAGCGGACAGGCAACTTGGAATGCATTTTTGCATTTTGCTTCGGGGGCGCTGCCCCTCGCCCCCGCCGTGGCGCTGCCCCGGACCCGCCAAGGGGCGCTGCCCCCTGGACCCCCGCGAGCTGACCGAGCAGCTCGATCCCCGTCATAATCAGCGAAGTGGCAATCTTGAAAGCATTAGCATCACAAACTTCTCTGAAAGGCACAATTCAGGTTGGATTCGCATCTAAACACTCATGGCCTCATTGAAATAAAAGTACGAAAATAAATACAACTGAAAGGAGTTTTGTCAAACTAGATTGCCAAGAAATAAAACTTAACAAAATTTGTGCCCAACAGGGGGCAAAAAGGGTTGGCAGGTTTGACCAACTCTTTCTAAAAAAATTTTAAGACTCCTTAGCCAACTGGGGGGCAAAGGCAGTTGGCAGGTTTGACCCACAAAACTTTTTTTCACCCATCAGCCGAAATCAAGATCTAGACTAAAGGCGGTTGGCAGGTTTGACCAACACAAAATTTTTGCACTCTTTGGCCGGGATGACAGTTACCTCGGCCAAAGCAGGTTGGCAAGTTTGACCAACAAGTTTTTTGAATTCTTCAGCCAAGATGTGTATCTCGGCCAAAAAAGGTTGACAGGATCAGATAAGGCCAAACTAATTAGTTTGGCTAGACATGTAGTCGGAATGATGCAAAACATTGAAAAAGAAACACAGTAACCGCGCCAAGAGATCGAAAATTTTCATTAATTGGAAGATGATTAGAAAAGGATATATACATTGAAGACAAAAAGGCGAGACTATTCAAATTTTTGGCATGACGACTGTAACTGGAGAACGGGGCACGCCACATGCTAGATTAGTGGATGGACGTGCTGAGCAACTAACAAGACTTATTGAAACCGAACAACTTTTCTAGCTCAGCAGAGTTAGGCGTTCTTAGCTCGGCTGGAGGAAAATAATCTCAAATATGCTACGCAGATGGAATTAAGAGACAATTGAGAGGGTAATTTCTGAACAAATTGGACCAAGCTAGGAAAAGTCTTCTTTGGAAGTTAGGCTGCGCAATGGGCCGAGATAAGAGCTGATGTAGCTCGGTCTTGGGCTAAGAAGACACTAAGTCGGTCAGAGATGGGTTGCTAGGGGCTGGACCTAGCTATCTGAAGGTAGTCCTTTATTGGACCGAGATGTTGTCAATAGAGAGGGATGAGCTATGTGTAGCTCGGCAGGGTGCAATTCGATAAATCGGCTTTCGGTCACATAGCCCGAACAACAGGGGACCGAGATAAGGCAGTTCGGTCAGGAATGTATATCCGAGCATAAAGGAGTTGCCATCTCACTTGGTTTGCAGTGATGAGGGTGTTTTAAGGATAAGCATTATTCTTGGGCATGAGACTCCTAGGAGGACTCTGCTAAGGAGAGTTAGAATCCTACTAGGATTGTGCAAACCATCTCACTTGGCTGGTAGTGAGTAGAGTGTTATCAAGATAGACACTCTTCACTGGGAGTGTGATTCCTAGGAGGACACTTATAAGGAGAGTTGGAATCCTACTAGGATTGTGCCAGACAGAATCTATAAAAACTCATAACAGGACCTATGTACAGGTATCATAATTTTTGCTCCAAAAAACACAGAGCTTTTTGTCTATTGTCTATTGTCTATTGTCTATTTGCTGACTTAGGCATCGGAGAGGTATCCGGCACACACTCGCCAGCTAGCTCACGTTTGTGTTTTTAGGTAGCAAAGTGACGACGTTTAGAGGAGTGTAAACTTGATCAACATGATTATACGAGAAGATTATTTTCGTGCTCCTACACTACTAGATGAATATAATTTTTATCTCGAAGCAGGCAAGAGAGTCTGACCCTCCTGCTACCTCGAGAAAACGTATCCTTGAGGAAGGATAGCCTTTTGAGCTCCACTTCCTCATAAATGGAGTCGGTTCGGTCGCCTTTAAATAGCATGACGAAGTAGGTTTTGTGGACCAATGACACACTGCAAACATCCCAAAGTTCAATAATTTCCTTTTGGAGACTCCTGAATTCTGAGGGCTAATTCGAAAGACTCTTCAAACTATCAAAAAATTTAAATATAAAATTGTAAACACATTGCATTTGCGTCTGCTGCTAGTATATATACACACCCATATATATACAGGTCCTAAAGGGGGAAAAGATAGGAACACACCCATTTACACTTTCAAACACACCCATAGAGAGAGTCATGGGTGTGTGTTTGGAAGTGTAAATGAGTGTGATTGTTACAAAGTTGGGTCCTAAATGGCAATTGTCAATTTTAACCAGTGTATGCCACGCATGGCAATTGTCAAAATGTTACCTTGTGCATGGGCCTTTGGGTCAGGCCTATGGTCTAGGTTTTAGGTAGTCCACCGAGCTGGACTTATGGGCCAATCCATGGGCCTTACCCTTTTGTCCAAGCCCAGCTCATATTTAAGGACTAGGCCAATGACCAGCTCGGGCTGGACTGTGGGCTATGAACTTTTTGATGAGCCTTGTATGCACAAACCAATAAAAAGAGTACATTTTTTATATGAAAATATTCAAAATTACCTTTCCATGTACCGTTGTGTCCATGCCCTACACTTTGCCATGTTGGCATTTTCATTTTGTCTCTTACTCAAGTTGTTGATACAAGAAGAACAAAGCCATGAATCTCAGCCACTCGGGCTTAGCTAAATGACTGTCGTAAATCATAAAGTGCATTTACTATGAATCCCCATAGCATAATAGGTGTCGACTGTTCTCACTATGCTTAATTAATAATGATGTCATATATAACTGATAAATGAAAAGAACACATAAAAGTTTCTCTAGCACTTGTTAACAAATTCCTCCTTTGGCATCAGCATAAACTCTGTTGAGCCATAGTTTTTCACAGAAATATTTAAAATAAAAGCCAGAAATAGAAATAAAACTCACTGGATTATCAGCAACTTGCTTCTCTTGCTGAAGCTCAGCCTTTTCCTCCATTCATACAATGCGTGTATTAACACTAGTAATATTAGCATCAGTTGAAGTTCTGCCTCTGTGTGCTTCAAGATCAATAGTAGCAACACTCCTGATAAAAGATTGAGAACCTTTTCTTGATAGCCTTTCAATGTTGGCACCATAGTTCAATTCATAAACCCTTCTTCGGATATCCTCAGGTCTTCCAGTGAATTCTTTCTAGAACCCAGTTGGTGGTGTGTGCTCATTATCATTATTTTCCACCTTCTCAAACCATGGTGAATATGGGCTAGTCATCAGGCTTGCTTTGCAGCTTCTACTTTTAGTTAACTTCAAGCTTTGAGAGCCAGACATGTACTCTGTTAATGGCCATGGAGATGGTTTTTCATGAGAATGAGCAATGAAATGGGGGATATAACTTAACATACTATCTTCCTTTAGTGGCAGTGACACGAACTCCTGATCTATTGTGTCTCCGTTCCCAGCCACCATCGATTCAGAGATTTCAGTGCTTTGTTCAGGAGATGATGATCTATTCGATTCTTCTGCCTCTATGCATCAAACTTCCTTGCATAAATCCTCCGAAGTCCCATGTCCCAACTCCGTCCAGAATTGCTTCGGATGAACATAGAAACACCGACCAACAGCTGTGGAGAAGTATCATTCGACACAAAGTTCTCTTCAAATTCAGGAAGAATTTGTATGCAGTGATCATCAGAGCTTCTCCCACTATGTCCATAAGAATAAAGAGATCTCTTGACTAATCTAACACCAATGTCCAAGGAGTGAGGACTTGCCAAAGAGGATGTCTCTGGTACTGGATTTTCAAATTCCGGTGACTTCCGAACTAGCAAGCGTGGGTAGTTATTGAAACCTACCTGGAGAAGTACAAAAGGAAAAAATAAATAAACTCAACTAAACAAGGCACGCCTAGATGATATGGATGCTTCGGCACAACAATTTAACTACAGTTACCCGTGTCATTGAATGTCCCTCATCCCCAACCAGTTGTAGCAAATCCTTAACCTGACATTGAGCTAAGTCTCGTTGAACAGTCAGATCTATCATCTCCTTCTCCAACTGCACAAGTAGAAAAAGTAAATAAATAAAAAGAAAATGGCATTCAACGCCTGAGCCCATAAGACAAATGCTGCTTCTTGCATGGATGGAAAATTTTGCAGCATGTTCGTGAATTATACTTCAAATGTTAGTAGCTCAAGGTGCACTCTTAACTTTCCCCAAAAATGTCATTTGAAATTGAACTTTTTAAGCCTACAGCTATCAAAAAGTCAAATAAGCAGACATTAGAAGGATTTCCATATGTGATGCCATGGTTCTTCAGACTTTTTAAGCCTACTTCCTTCTGCAATGATCTTGTGTTTTTTTTATCAAATCAAGACACATTAGCAAAGTATATAATTTAACAATTGAGTTAAAACTGAAGTAAAATGGCATTAAAACCATAGATCCTAAAATGACATAGTTTTGTTTAACTTTAAACATAGGCCAATGGATCACTACAAGAAGTCCAGAATTCGTTGTAGAGAATCTTGACCCGGGCAACGATGGTCCACCAAATTAATTACCATTTTCTGTAAGGTTAAGTTGTTAAAGATATCCCTTACGGTGAAGTAAAAGTCAAATGAAGTATCTAAACCGCATCCTTGCAATGTTATTAAACCAAATGGTTCATCAACAGATCTCATATTTTCAAGTTGGTATTGTTCTTGAGGTGGGATTTTGTTGACATTTCAACTGGTCCTCTCTTGTAATAATCTAAGAGTTACAAAATTATTCTGCTTTTAGATCACAAAAGTCCTAAAAATCCAACCAAAATTGAAATGAGATTGTCAAAGGATTAGAAGCAAGACAAGGAATAAAGATTAGAAATGAGTAAATAGACCAAGAAAATTCTTTTTGCATGTTCCGTGCAGAACAACAAATATACAAAAGGCTTAATATGAAAAACAGACAGTGAAAAGGAATGAAAGTCATGCAACCTAAAAGAAAAAATGGAATTAATTATAAATGATGGCGAAGGATGCACGCGGAAATAAGGGTTTAACAGCAAAGATTACACTTATGTTTGCCAAACTAACTCACTCTAGTGGATGTGATCATGTGACATAATTTAGGGAAAATTTCACTCTACCCTCCAATGTGGTTTAATCTATGTGCGGATTACTCCCTATCATTTGGAAATAATCACATAATCCCCCTGTAGTTTGTGGACTGAAGTGCACCATCAGCATTATGTCCAAGTTAACAAGTGCGAAACACATGCCAAGACATAGATGGGTTATGCACTCATTTCCAAATGTCAGAGGGATAAATTGCACATGGAGTAAAACAAAGAGGGTTAAAGTAAATTGTCTCCCAAAAAATTGAAAAAAATGTTTGTGGTTTGCATAATCAAGTTACTTATGTACAAGGTTTTTTAGTCCACAAACTAGAGGGGGTTATGTGCTTATTTCCAAATGACAAGGGGTTATGTGCACATAGGCCAAACCACAAGGGGGTGAAGTGAAATTTTCCCTATAATTTGTAATTTAAGATTCAGAAGTACCACATTGTGGTTTTAAAGAGTCTTGAAATTTATATTCCTCATGCGACAATTACACATAAATTTATGAACTGTTCGATATTGAAGAGGTATTGCAATTTGATAATGAAAGCCCAATCATTACCTTTTCAATCTGAAGGCCTCTCTCTCTCAGTAATGCCAAATAATGTGATGCAACAAAGGTGGGCCCTTGACTTCTCAGTTCACTCTCCAACCTAGCTAATTGTCTCTGCAGATGCTTTACTAATGCTTTATCTGACATGACTACATTAACTTGAGTGTTAGTTGTTATTTCTTTCGCACAACTTGCAAACAATAGCGTATTTCTTGATTGCTCAACATGACTTCTCGCGGGGCTCATGGTACGGATGATGGCAGTTCTAGCATTGCCTCCCAACGAGGATTGCAATATGCGAGTTAGCTTAGAATCTCTGAAAGGAACATGCTCATTTCTTCCCTTGCTGCACCCAATGATAGGACAACACAAATGATAACAAAACTTGCAATCAACAAATGGTAATGTTCAGGATGAAACATCATACAATCAAACCAAAAAAAACACAGACAAGAAAAAGGAAAGGCAGGTAAAAGGATTAAAGGCACAAAATTCCCGAGAATTTAATCATTTTGGTTGATTTAAAAAGACCACAACAACAAATCTTTGACGTAATAAGATCATCATGATTACCCAAAGGAGTGTACTAGCCAAAAGTGATGATAGTAATCTTAGTGTAACGGTTATATTAAAGGGTTTTTGTAAGGATTCATTAGATACACTTAACTATCTCCACTATCATAGAAAAGATAAACCACGATAAATATATTTTGTTAGAGACTAAACTACTCTTTTACTTAATTCCTTCTACTAGTGGTAACCCATGCATGCATGGCATGTAAAAAATTAATAATATATTTTTATACAAAATAATATAAATAATTAAATTTTTGTATGCAAAGTATGAAAACAAATAAGATTGAAATTTATAATTTAAGTCCTACAATTTTATCACAATTTATTTATTATTTTTTAATTTGTCACAAATTTAATCATGTAATTTTCAATCCCCTTTGCTGGAATTGCAAATTTAGTAATATAATTTGAAAAAAAAAATTAAATTTGAAATTTTATTTTATCATTAAATAAAGGATGCAAAATTTAAGGAATGAATATTGGTCTCATTCCAATTATAGTAACATAATTTAAGTAAAAATCAAAATTTGAAATTTTATTTTAGGGTAAATTACAAATACACCCCCTGAGATTTGTTTAAAGTACAGATTGCCTCATGTGGTTTGGAAAATTACAAATACCCCCTTGTTAAAAAAATTTATTTAACAGAACTAACTAAAAAAATAAAATTTATAATTTCTCACCTTGATAAAATTATTTTATATATTTAATAGACTTTCCGTTTGAAAGTTATAAATCTAGAGATATTAAATATTTTTAAACAAAATAAAAAAAAATGAGAAAAGAGAATTACAACTTTCAACCTTAATGATCAATTACAAAAAAAAAAAAATTCAAAATACAATCTATTCATCATCAATAATTGGTACATTATGTGACCCTAATAAATACAATCCATTTTGTTTTTCAAAAAACACAGTAAATTAAAAATCAAATCACAAATTAAGTAAATTGATAGTTAAAAAAACACAGTAATTTTTTTTCAAAAAACACAATGAGTTAAAAAAATTAATTACAATTTTTTTTTTTTTGAAAATACAATCTAATCATTATCAATAATTGATACTTTAAAAATCAAATCACAAAAAAATAAAATAAAAGCACAAATATTTTTATGCTATCTAACTAGAATCATATTTTTTTATAAATAATTGTAAAGAAGAACCATTAAAACAGTAAATAAAAATATTAAATCACATTAAAAAAAAAAGAATAATTGAACTAACTACGATACAATCACATTAAAAAAAAAGAACCATTGAACAAACTATAATCACATTACATTTTCTCATAATAAAAAAAATAAATGAAAAAAAGAACCATTGACTAACTAAAATCACATTAAAAAAAAAAAACTATTGAACTAACTACAATCACTTTTTTTTCTTTGTGAGTGTTTATGTTTATCTAATTTCAATCATATTCAAAAATAAAATTAAAACAATAAATAAAAAAATTAAATCACATTAAAAAAAAAAAACCATTGAACCAAGTACAACAATCACATTAAAAAAAAGAACCATTGAACAAACTACAATCATATCACATTTTTTCCATAATAAAATAAATAAATGAAAAAAAGAACTATTGAACTAACTACAATCACATTAAAAAAAAGAACCATTAAACTAATTATAATCACATTTTTCTCTTTGTGAGGGTTTATATTTATCTAACTTTAATCATATTAAAAAATCAAATTATAATTTTTTTCGCTAGACAAATCACAAATATTTTTATGCACTATCTAATTACAATATTAAAACAGTAAACAAAATGAGAAGTCAATAAGGCGAAAACAAAAAGAAGACTCACTGTTTGCATACATGGTCACTGAAGTTGAAAGTGTAGAAGAAAGTGTGGAAGTGAGAAGTCAAGAAGGAGAAAACGAGTCGGTTGTTGAATTCAAAAAGTTTGGGTATTTGTTGTACATCTAAAAAATAAAAAACTAACTAAAATATGAAAAGTTTGGGTATTATAATTTTTTTTTAACAATCCTATCACTAACCATAGTGCATGGGAAAAGTTGAAAAGGGTGTAAGAGTAGGTATGAGAGAAGTCAAAAAGGCTTGTGGGTTAGGAGAAGTCAATAAATGCTAAGGTTTTTTTTTTTTTTAAATAAAAAATTTAGAAAATTAAGATTGGTTTATAAAAATAATTTAACAATCCCATTAATAACCATAGTATATGGGAGAAGTGGAAAAATGTGTAATTTTGCTTGAATGAAAGCTATAGAAGATTTTTTTTAATTATTTAAAATCAAAAAATTAGAAATTTTAGTTTGAAATATTGAAACTCCCACAAGACTTGTGGTTACAAACCCTATTTTACTTATCTATACTTCTATACTATATATTAAGTAAAAGGGGATTTTTAACCCCAAGCCTTGTGAGAGCTCCAATCTCCCAATATAAATTTTCTGATTTTCTGATTTAAAAAAAAAAACCTTAACATTTATTAACTTCTCCCAACCCCTAAGTCTTACCCTCATAATAACACTTTAATGCATTAAGAACAAATATAAAAAAAAAAAAATCTTTGAAATCCAAAAAGGCTTGTGGGTTGGGAGAAGTCAACAAATACTCAGCTTTTTTTTTTTAAATCAAAAAATTTAAAAATTAAGATTGGTTTATAAAAATAATTTAACAATCCCATTAATAATCATAGTGTATAGGAGAAGTTGAAAAGGGTGTAATTTTGCTTGAATGAAAGCTATAGAGGATTTTTTTAATTATTTAAAATCAAAAAATTAGAAATTTTAGTTTGAGATATTGAAGCTACCACAAGACTTGTGGTTATAAACCCCATTTTACTTATATATATATATATATAGATTTAATAAAAATTTATATC